ACATAGACAATTCAACAATTGCCAGATGGAATTTGTTTGATGAATTATTGATGTTAATACCGTGTCCTTTCCAGCCCAGTAGCTTGAAAACGTCTTCCAATGCAGCGGTGAAGAGTTTCGGAGATATAACGTCACCCTGTCTTACAACTCTCTGCAATGGATAGGTTTCGTACTCTGGTTCTCTACTCGGATAGCCATCGTAGTCCTACTGTACAAGCACTTCAGCACTTCGATATACCGACAATCACCTTGGCACCGCTAAAGAGACTGTAGCACCGCCCAAATTTCGACGGAATCAAAGGCTTTCTCATAGTCCACATACACCAGGCAAAGTGGCAAACTGTACTCTTAGGTTTTCTGTATAATCTGCCGGAAGGTACGTATGTGGTCTATGGTACTGAAGTCAGGTAAACGTACACGTCAATAGCTTCGAGCTTAAAGCTCCCAACAACTACTGGCACGGGTGTGACATGGACATTACACATGAACTTTGTTTAGTCGATGTTCATTATAAGATCATTCCGTTGGGAGACACTGTTGAGGTTATTGAACATAGTGCTTAGGTTCCCCAGCGATTCTGCCATAAGTACTACATCGTCGGCAAATCGAAGGAGAGTGATGTACTCGCCATTCATGTTAATACCTTATCCTTACTAGTTCAGTAGCTTGAAAACGTCTTCTAATGCAACTATGCAGAGTTTCGAGGATATAACGTCACCCTGTCTTACACCTCTCTGAAATTGAATAGCTTTCTTACTTTGGTTCTGTACTCGGATAGCCATCGAAGCCCTACTGTTCAAACACTTCAGCACTACGATATACCGAAAGTCAACTTGGAACTGCTGAAGGGACTGTAGCACCGCCCAAACTTCGACGGATTGAAAGGCTTTCTCATAGACCACATGCGCAAGGCAAAGTGGCGGACTGTATAATCTGCCGCAGTGTATGTATGTGGTATATGGTACTCAAGCGTTTTCGGAAACCGGCTTGTTCGGGAGGCTGGATGTAGTCGAGCCTGTGTGCGAGACTATTCGAAACGACTCTCGAAAACAACACGTAGATGCGGCTTAGAAGGGAAATCGGTCTGTTAAGAAAGGCGACAACGATCTCTTGAAGAAGAAAGCAGAAGTGCGGTTGTGCGGATGTGCGGTCTGCACATCCGCACAACCGCACTTCTGCTCCACGCCTCTGGATTAGTGCCACCATGGAGGACGGAGTTGAACAGCTTCTGAAGGACTTTAAGTATCGGTTTTCCACCCGCTTTCAGAAGCTCGATTGTAATGCCATCCTAGCCTGGGGCCATGCCGTTTTTAAGGTGCTGGAGAGCCATTCTAATCTCGCTCAGACTGACGTCCGGGATATCACCGAAATAGTGTCGGATAAGACTTGCGTGTGGCTCCAACGATGATGTGTGCGGCTGCCCATAGAACCTCTCAATCTCATTCAAAATTTCAGGTTCCCGGAAACGATGCTGCCACACTCGCTCTTCAGCTTTGACAATTGGCTCTTTCTGACAGACAGATCTCTGTCAGATTTGGGAGCCCTAGTTCTGCTCCATCGCTTCTTCAATACGAGCTGTATTGAAGATGCGCAAGTCCCGCCGCATGTATTTGGAGATTTGTCTGTTCAGTTGCCTGTATGCTGTCAAATCTGTTGAAGACTGCAGCTTCATTTTCCGTCTAACAGCCATGAGATTAAGAGTGATCGGAATTTTTGTGTTATTCTGCGGTGGGTCTTGCAGAACTCAGCTCCGACCGCATGGACGGTTTCCAAGAGCTTGTCATTCATATCGTGCACTGCATTCCCATCTTCTAGGCACTGAAAATAGTTTTGTAACTCCAGCTGAAAGGTTTCGGGACTCTGGATTAGAGCACGTGGGGGACGGAGCGTTGACTTCATTCGACGAGACCTCTCCAACTTAAAGTTTAGGTTCAGTGCATAAGCAACAGTAGCCTAATGGCAGGACGCGGACCGCGAACTCAGAAATAAAACGTCGTGGGTTCGAATCCACCATTCGACTACCGGCGTGAACCACTCGTAACACAAGCAATTTAAGCTTACCACGAGTGGTTAAGGGGAATATTAGTAATGTTTATAGCAGTTAAAATTCTTTTTTTTAAGTGTGCCTCTAACCATACGGTGATCGCTGCCAGTTTTCACCCTTGCGATCACTGAAACATCACTGAACAGTTGCCGTCTAGTCGTCATAATCAAGTAAAAGTCAATCAAATTTTTGGTCGAACCGTCGGGGCTCTAACAGGTCCACTTTCTGTGAGGCTGCTTCTGGAAGAAAGAGTTCATCATAAAGAGTCCCTCTTTCTCTATGAAGTCGGCCATCTGCTGGCCCCTTGGGTTCCGTTGCCCTATCCCAAATTTCTTCACCTTCAGCTCACCGTTCTGTCTTGTGCCTAGCTTTGCGTTTAAGTCTCCCATTAAAACTATTGCCGTTTAGTGGCGCCTAAGATTATCCACTACCCATATTTTCCCGTGGGTGTCGTAAGAGGCGAAAGAGGGAAACAGGCATGCATGGATGGGCAGCAGCTTCTTTCTGATAACTACAACTCGGTCTCAACGCTCGATTACCAACGAGCACACAGTCCACCTGATGGTAAGTTAATTACTGTGGCCCATAGACACCTACGTTTACCTATAAAACAACTAATTAATAATTACTACTATAAAATAGTACTTATAAGTTGCAGCGTGGCTTTACCACTTTTAAAGTACGTTATCACGTTTAAGAACGTTACCACGTTCATATAAAGTTCTTTCTGCGGTACTACCTACCGCAAAAAGAGAAAAAAGGAATACCCAGTATTTCCTTTTTGAAGAAGGCGCTCTTAACACACTTCTTTCAGTGGCGAGAAGCCGGGCTTGCCCTATAAAACTGCTCAATCAATAATATCAACTAATAAAATAACTCGTTAACTGTTTCAAACTATTTCAAATTTTCCACGCGCTCCTTTGTTCTCTCTCGCACGCGTGGGGTTTTTACTGAGCTTTCAAGAAGACGATCGCTCCCTTTCTAACCTATGTCAAAATGTTCTATAATGAAATATAACTACGATTGTTTATATAGCAATCAGTATAGAGCGAAAAAGGCAGGCTTTCAATATGAAGTTAGCCGGGGCGCGCAGGCGATACATTTGCAAGTTAGCTTCACATTTCAATGTTTACTCTGTGTGTTTAGCTTGAGCGGATGAATATTGCGAGTTGAAAATTTATGCCTTTTTAAAGATTTTTAGTGACAATGGAGGATAATAGTGTACCTTGTGATAAATTGAAGTGTGTTAAAGTGCTTACCGGCGAGGAAAAAGTAAAATCTTGAAACTTTGTTAAGAATTATCGCAATTGAAAAACAGTTATTGGTACAATTAAAGCGTTTACCAACATTTTACATGGATGTAATCAAATCTTTCCTTGAGAAAGAGAGACGATTCGATTTAGAATATAAATAATTTGTTTTTTTTTTAATTTTGTACATAGTTTGTACTTTGTTCATGATTTTCTTTTGTACACGTATTGTATTGTACCTATGTATATCTTTTTCTTTTGCTCAAGCAAAACCAAACGGCTTTTTTCAAACCCACCGAAGGTATGCAATTGCTGATATGTCATACAATCTATCTAGCAGTAGTATGCCTTCTGTGCTTTGTTAAACACGTTCTCGACAGCACTGAATATGAAACTGAAGAATGGAGACAGATCATGATTGGCGTATTTTATAGAACTGCTAAAAACAACAAAACCATATCTTGGGCTTGCCCTAGTTTCGCTACTGACTTCTTTTGTCCAAATTTCGCACTCTTATTTGGTATCCACTGTGACTTGTACTCACACGTGTGCTCCGCGCGAGTCAACAACGAACAGATTGAAATTGCCACAATTGTGCTACACACACGGTGCGGCAGCTATGATTTAGGGAGCAAGGAAGGTCTTACGCCACTCCCGTCTTTTTTGTAGAATATTGGTGACAAACGAGCACACAGTCCACCTCATAGTAAGTGGATGCTGTGGCCCATAGACATCTACATTTAACCTCGATTAAGAATCAAAACGTAGACGCGTTGTCACCCCTGAAGACTACAATGGAATGCCTCGTTTCCAGTAAAAAACGATCTCCGGATCTTTACACTCACCACACGAAACACAGCAGTATTAAGCTGCTATTTTACGGTGGTATTCTGTGAGAGCGTGGTCCTTCCCCGATCGAACCGACCCATTCGTGCTACAATCATAATATAGCTGCAGCGTGGCTCTACCACTTATAAAACCTTGACGCAGGGCCGACTTAGGATATTGTCTCTGCTTGCACACACACATCAGAACTAAGGAAGCAATTAAGGGTTATCCCCACTCCTAAGCCCTAGAATGCCGTTGCGACATCATATATGTATATAAATGATGTAATATAGACCTGATGAGGATAATTTTTACCGTCTGGAAAAAATAGGGTGTGACATTTGAACGGAGTAGAAGCCTATGGCACTGATATTTTACAAAAAAATAAAATCAAAAACGTTGAATTAAGCGTTCGAAAAAAAATTTGAATTACTTTGCCCTTGGCCCTTGAGCCTGTGACGCTACGAAGTGACAAGGTCAAAAATGCCCACTACATATTTTTTTATTACCGTTCGTAAAGTAAGTAAGGTGGATATGATTTGAATTTCAATAGATTTTAATTTATTTCATTCATAATTTTTGTTTTCATATTTTGTCAAATATCAGTGCCATAGGCTTCTACTCTATTCACATGTTATATGTTCTCTCTATTCACATGTAATGCAATATGTTACACCCTATTTTTTTCCTGACGGTAAAAAAGATTATCCAGTATATAAACTTAAATATTTGTCGAAAGGCATAATTATACTTCTCAGTAAGTCGTATAAAATAGTTTTAAAATCTGAAGTAAAACAAAAAGTTTTAATTTAATTTTTTATTTGGTACAGTCTCAAAAGCAATCATAATGGGTATTAAAAAGGTAGTTATACGATTCTTCATTTATGTGGAATGCTGGTAAGTAAAGACAGTGGTAATTTATCTTCTATTTTTTGAAACTTGTAATTGAATGTTTCACAGAACGTTTGTAATATTCTCAAAGTAAATACACTTTCATTCGATAATTCCGACGACTTTAATCTGAAATAGTAATTACGATTATTAATTGATGTTAAAAAATTAATATGAATGGTTCAGTATGGTTCAAAATATTCGTAAATATGATAAAAATCTACGTCTTAATGATACACATCTTAAATTGTTTAGAAAACATTTTTATTAGAACAAAATCCGTACAAGACCCACATTTGGATAAAATTCCTCAATCCAGGTGACATTTTTTTTTAAATATCTACTTATGTTAAAATATTCTGTATATAGATTATAGACTTTTTCCTAAAGACATTGCAAAGATAGTTGCAGTGTCTGATACAAATATTTTTAATATTCAGCATGATGAGAATACTCACAATGCATTAAAAGCAGCGACACGTAATGTGTTGCCGCGAGTTATAGGATTTTTGTAGCGAGAACGAGGAAAAGTTTTAGGCTGAATTGTTACTGGAGATGAACAATACATAGGATATTATGGAACATTATTAGCCTGGGTCTAACTAAAATCGATACAGTGACACAAATAAGGACACCCAAGAAGTTGAGGTGTCCCAATCGGCCACGAAAACTCATGGTCACAATCTTTTGGAATCCAGAAGGAAATATTTTGATTGATTACATAGACAAAGGTGATTATATAACCGGAGTATACTACGTTGGAATAATTAAAACGTTAAAAGACGCTATAAAGGAAAAAAAACCGTGAATAATCGAAACAAGACATACGCACAACAATGCGCCTGTGCACAAGTCGTATGTTGCAATGGTTGCTCTTCAAATAATATGTTTTGAAGGATAATAATTTGAAACTTTTATGACTAATTGTCCACAAAATTATCCCTTACCGTTACAGCCTATTAAAGTCCACTGATGAGCATAGGCGTCCCCAAAGATAAACTTTTAGGAGGATATTTGCCATAGTTGCCACGCTTGGCAAGCGGGTTGACAACCACAGATTTTTTTTATTTTAGACGTTATTAGGAAGACGCTGCTGCCCATCTCCTGATTTGTTGCAGTCTGTCGCCTTTGGCAACGCCCACGGGAGGATATGGGGTAGTGGATATTCTTCACCGCCACTACAGTCTGTTGACTAACATAGTGTCGGTACACCCGGGGAACACGTATTATTTTGCTTTTATTTTGTAATTTTTACCGGGTTTGTTAAATAAGCGCTTTTTTAATCTAATAATGTAGAATACTATTTTATTTTAATAGTTATTGCAATAAAATAATAATATAAATAATAAATACAAGTTAGGTAGCAAAAGAATTTAAATGAAAATTATGAGGTAATCATAAACGAAAGTAAAATAGACACTATTCTTTATCACTCGAAGTGTCGGAGCCATTGCCACCTGTATTTATAATAAGGCATTTAACGTCATCACGTTCTGAATCCATACTAAAATAGTACATATTTTTGTTATTGGTTCAACCAAAATTTCATCTTGACGTGGTACACTTCACTGTCCTCCCAAGAACGAAAAAATTTTTTGTATGCGTAACAGGGTCTACAAAAACAACCTTTCACTACGGCGTTTGGTTTTAAAATGCCACGTAGACATGTGTCAATCATGAATGCTTCGTTCGTTTGAGCTGGTACACTTAAAAGAGTGTTAATGGTTCATTCATCTGTTTTTGAATTTCTGGTACAACCAATCACAAACAATTGACGGTACCTTTTTAACTCGTGATTAGTGTGAATTGTAAATGAGTCAAAAATCGACCGAATCCTGAATGAATTGTTTTTAGTGTAGGGTACTGGAGCCCGAATGATTCATTTGAATGATCGATCCGAATGTACCGGTACGCGTGACGAAATATACTAGAATGATTCACGAGAAATGAATGATTGACACATGTCTAATGCCACGATTTGTGATGTTGTGGCGGCGTCTTTGACAAGATGCGGCACGTGCCGAGGCAGCTCGACACAAAGGCAACCGTATCTAAACTAACAAACTACACTCAATCCCATTATCCCTTAGCGATTAGTATTTATTTAGAAAATGAAAAAATAGTTGCCAGGCGACAAAATTTGCAATAAATGATCCAATTTGAAAACTATATAAGGGTTCAAGAGGAATTAAGCGGAACCAAGGCTCTAAATTCTATGCCTGAAATCTGTCTCCAGAAGGATCTGTTGAGATTGTGTGTTGTGATTCAACTGTCAAAGTAGAAGACCGTCTGTGGTAGCATCATTATCGAAATACCTGATATTTTAAGTGAAAATGAGAGGTTCTAAGGACAACTGTACACATCATTGTTCACTAGTCCGATTATGCTAATCCGAACTTCAGTCTGAGCGAGATTATAATGACTATTCCAGTACTTTAAAATGACAAAGACTGATACGAAGATGGAATTACAGCGAACTTCGGGCCAAAGATCGAAACTTAAATTCGTTCAGAAGATCTTTAATTCCGTTCTCCATAGTGAAACACCTCCAGAGACATGGAGTAGAAATGCGCTGTAGTTTGGTCGTTCGGTGCAGGGTTTTCTTCAAGAAAGGCGACAAGCTTCTGATTCCGTCGAAATTTGGGCGGTACATCGTGTGGAACTTGTCACACACATTCTGATAGATATTGGAAGCACCATACTCGGAGTTGTTTACGCGTATGTACTATGACAAATTGTTTGACTATATAAGTCCAACCTTGAATGATAGGTCTAGGATCTACGAATTCAACTCGATTGGGCAACATTCGGAAGATTATGACATATCATCTCATCACATATACCTTAAAACTTGAAACAAAAAGAAAGAAAGAAAAAGTTTATTTGGTAGGTACATACATTATAACAAAAAGAATAAATTAAGAAAAACATTTTTTTATATCTTATCAAAAATATTTAAAAAAGGAGTAACACTCAGCTTTAAGTCACGAATTGAAGATATAAATACATCAATTCGTAACACTGATTTTCAGTGGAGCCAGGAGTGTGAGGCAGATGACGAATAACAGAAGAGCAAAAAAACTAAACAAAAATATAAAACAAAATGAAAAAAAAAAACTGTCAAAATTCCACATGTCAGTGCAACATTGATAGTGAAGAGATGAACAAACGGTGGTATGCATACAGAAAAAATAAAATAAATTGTGTATGTGTATATGGATGTGTGTATGCGTGTTTGAGTGTGTTCGTATGTGCATGTACGGTGCTAGCATCGAGGTTGTATGAACCATACCATTTATGCCTATTTGCTGGATTTTTGTAAATCAGAAACTTTTTTAATAAAGTTTTAAAAGTGGCAACTCTTTTACAATTCTGATCGGTGGTGGTATATTATTCCAGTACTTTATGGCAGCAAAATAGAAACTACCACGGAAAGAAGCTGTGTGATGCTTAGGGTATGTGAGTCGTGATGCTGTCCTAACCGCACGCTGCGAGAAAATAAGCTTTTGGAACAAGTATGATGGTTCCCTGGTATTTAAAACTAAAAAATAGATCAGAGACATCCTTTACTGTTGGTCTATGAGGAAACTTAAGGTCACGCAGCGACCTATGTTGAGGGTTATGCTTGGAGTTTCTGTGCGTGCCAGGTTCCGTACGTAATGAGGATATTCGCAGTAAAATCAGAAGACATAGCGCAACGGATCAGTAAGCTGAAGTTTTAACGCCTGCTTTGCGGCTTGTGATAAGTTGTAATGATGATATTGTTACAAGTTACGTACAAGATTGTAAGTACTTAGAGTTGCTACTTTTGCGTACTTGCATAGGGTATTAACGAATTCTTCTATAAACTCCATTTTGCCTTGTCGTAACAATGTATAAATGCCCACCAAAAGGGGAAAACCATCAATATTATCGCCTGCTTTTTTACTTATTAAATCTCCTAAAAAATTTTATTGATTTTGAAATTAGAAAGTGTGAAAATTAAAGAGTGCAATATTAAAAATATATTGTAAGAAAAAAAAGTTCTTTGAATACCTGTAGAGTAGCATAAATGAAGTTTAGATAACTGTGCAATAAGAACAACTGCCAAAATACGGCCCAAATCTGCGTTTAAAAAATCTTGCGCATGTTTTAAGTAAACCTTTTCAAACGGTTCATTAATTCCACATCAGACTAATTATTCATCTAGGTCACGAATCAGCGTTACTGGTATCGATGTCCCGTCCGATTTTCTCGTTTTTAATTCGTTTATCAATGCTCTTAAGGCGACACCGCGAAAATATGCACCTCCTTTCATCGAATAGTATAGGACTATGACACCACTAACGAAAGTGTAATTTTGATATAGGTAAATTCATGACTTTATCTTGAATTTGATTGTTCAAAAACACGATTGTATAATTTTGACTCGATCATAATTATTTGCGAAAACACCTGTAAAAAAATCACTATAGTTGAAATTACAACAATATTACTTAATCTATATGTTTGAGAATCACCCAAATATATTCCTAACATCAATATTCATAATTTACTTGTTCATTATTTTGATTACTTAAATCAATAATTTTTAAAAAATATTTTAAGATTCTGACAATTTCTAAGCGGTTTTATTCGTCACGGGCGCTACGCAATTTCAGACCATATGACGGCGTTTTTCCAAGTTTTTATAGAAATTATGTATTCACTCGGATAGCCTTGAGCCACATTTTCGATGTGTCGTCTTAAATAAGATGCTTATGTTAAAAGTTTATTATACTGTTTCGAGCAGATTTATTCACCGTTACCGTTAGCCTATAAGAGCTCGCTGCTGAAAAAAGTCCTCCCTCATAGATTGTCTCATAGGACAGATATTTGCTACAGTTGCCACACTTGGCAAATTGGCAACCGCAATTTTTTTTTACTCGTTAGGAAGACGCTGCTGCCCATCTCCTGATTTGCTTCCCTTCGTCACTTCTTACGACACCCATGGGATAATTTAGGGTAGTAGATATTCTTACACCACAATACTCGGTAAGACCTTTTTTCAATAATAATAACTTGCATTGCAATCACTTTTGCTACTATCATAGAATATATAACATTATGATGTCAGTGGTTACTATTTACTATAACTAATAAATAGGAATTTACTTCAAAAATATTTCTTTTAAAGCGAAGTGTAAAGTACTCCCCGCTAGCTGAGTTTTACATGTATGTATACTATAAGTATCAGTCAAATAGCACTTACAACGAACATGTAATTACTTACTCATTCATCGTCCTCAAAGAGGCCTCCAAATGTGCTGAATCGAATTTACAACTGGTGTTCAATTGATAAGAAATATGTTTCTTCAAAAGCTGCAAATTTCCAACAAGAAGTAGCACTGTTGTATAGTTTTCGTACATTTTACAATAACTTGTTCAACTTCTTTTGTATCCATATTAACATTTGAAATAGTGAAATTGTCTTGACAGTTCCTGAGTACTAATTGAACATTCTGCAGTTGATTTTTTATCATGAAAGCATAAAGAGTATCCAAATCATGGAGGCCCACTAAACCTATTGCGTCGTTTTGTGTTTTTATATCGAACCATGCAGTGCAGATGTTTATATAGACGGACAACCTGTAAGAATATGTACAAGTTATTGAAACATTTTCTGTTTTATAAATATTGTGTGTGTACTGTTGATTTAAGTTTCAAATACAATTATTTAAAACTTAAATCAACAGTTTGCCTGGCTGCGAAAAAAAAATAGTTTAACAACCGAAATGTCTATATACGACTGACTCACGGGTCAATGAAATGGTTAAATATGTATCCTACAGTTCAAAAGCGTCGCCAATGTGTAAAACTCCACGAACTCTTGATTGTACAATAAATAGGGCTGGTTCCTAGCACCTCATTTTTTTTGAGTCTTGGCTGACAGCTGCCCCTCCTTGAAACTGTAGCAGGGGAGGGGGCCTTGCTACAGTTGGCCCTCGCTTACACAAGACCAGAAGATGAGAAACATTCAGAATAATCGTGAACAACTGTTAGATCTAAGGTATGAAGGCAAAGCGAATAAAAGCGACAGTAGTCTTGTTCGAATCAGGCATTCAATTACTGTGGTGAACCACTCCCAGTCTCACCATCTTAAGGTTACTTGGAGTGTCAGTAATATATTGTTAGTAATTATAGTAATCATAATAGATAGTTATAATATAAATATAATTAGTATTAGTGATATAACCAGTACTAGTATTCAATAAAATAAATAAAACTGGCCAAAAATATGTCGGATCATGCACAATGTAGAGGTAGGATTCCATAGTTGCCCGCCACAATATGTGAATTTAGGAGAGTCCTTCTTGATAATATGAGCATATTAAGGGAGTTTATGGGAGATTATGACACATCTTCTCGTCAGCCAAACTGTAACAGGTGGTTTTATAAAAACTGAATAAGTTAACTGATTGAGATCCTTGCAATCATGAGAATAATTTTAGTATTAATTTATACAATACAATACTCTTTATTGTACACCAACGAAACATAAATATAACAAATAATGAACAAACAATGAGGGAAAGACAAAATGCGGTCTTATTGCACATAGCAATCTCTTCCAGACAACCCAGAAGAGGAAATTAATAAAAATAAAAATAAGATTACAATAACGGGTAGGGTGCACTACAAAAAAAATTTTTTTTATATAGGATAGGGTGCCAAACGAGCACACAGTCCACCTGATAGTAAGTTGTTGCTGTGGCCCATAGACATCTACATCTATCTTCGATTATGAATCAAAATGCAGATGCGTTGTCACCCGTGAGGACTAAGATGACATGCCTCATTTCCATTAAAAAGGGTCTCCGGTTCTCTACACTCACCATACGAAATACAGCAGCATTAAGCTACTATTTCACACTGGTATTCTGTGAGAGCGTGGTACTTCCCCGGTCGAGCCGACCCATTCGTACTACAACTATACTTCTAATATAATTGCAGCATGGCTCAACCACGTAAAAATAAAATTCATAATTATATACTAAAATTACAACATACTTTAGGTCGATTAATGACCATAACTAAGAGGAGGAAGAGAGAGGAGTTAAAGAGACAAATAGTGTTCCTTAATCTGATTCTTGAACACATTTAATGATTGAGCACTTTTAATTGACTGGGGTAAGGATTTCCAGAGTCTTACTCCAAGAACAGCAAAAATTTTATCATAAAATGTGGAGGAGTGTACAGGACATTGGAGCGAAAGATTTTCTTTGGACCATAAGGAAAAGTTGTGACAAAAGCTAAGAGATTTAAAACATTCTTTTAGATAGGGAGGACTTGATAAATTAAATAAGACGCAGTAGAGCGCAGAAAGTATATGAGTATTCCGAGACATGGTCATATTTACGAAGCCCAAATATGAACTGTATACAGAGATTTTAGAATTGCTCAAGTTTGTTAAGTTGCTCCTCGGTGATATCAAGGTAACAAATGTCAGCATAGTCAAGGATAGGGAGTAGTAAAGATTGTGTAAGCGTAAATTTGGTGGAAATGGGTTAAAAGTAGTTAAGCCTCCGGAGTGAAGCATATGCTGCAAACATTTTTCAGGTCACTGCATTAATTTGGGGATTCCAAGAAAGACTGGAATCCAAAAGGATACCTAAATTTTTAACTACTTCATTATATGGGATAAGGATGCCATTAAATATAACGGGTTGAAGTTGACATTTTTTAATTTTGGAAATCATTCTGGAACTCCCAATAATTATAGCTCTGGATTTTAAAGGGTTCACCGTCAACCCATAAGATGATGTCCAGTCGAGAATACAAGCCAGATCCTTGTTGATACATTCAACAGCTATGGGAAGATCTTCGATGGTTGTTTGTAAATATATTTGAAGGTCATCTGCATACAAGTGGTAGAGAGAAGATATTTGGGATGTAATCATATTAACAAAGATTGCAAATAAAAAAGGAGATAGGACACCACCTTGTGGAACGCCAGCTACGGTATCAAGCCACAAAGAAAGTCTATCTTGGACACAAATACGCCCATACAAATAACTATGAAACCAGGAAATTGCAGTTGGAGATATGTTACAAGAATGCAGAATTGCTAGATAAATAATTAAAATTAACACATCCTATTCTTTGAGAACGAGAGAAGAAGAGAGACTTCGATGGTCCTACTCCATTCTAGCCAACGCATTTGTGCTGCAACATTATGGTATAGCTGCAGCTTGGCTGCATCATGTAAAAGTCTAGTTATATTATGTTGGCTTGCTAGATAAATCTTGTAGAATCGATTAAGCAGATGGCAAATTTATTACAGAGTTTATATCCTGATTAATGTCTATGGAACAAGACATTGCTATCATCATTTGTTTATTGTATAAATGTTATATACAAGAAATTCTTCTAAACCAAGTTCTCATCGACAAGCACTGAGCTGTAAACAGACTCATGATGACAACATGAAAAATGCAAACTCATATTTTTCATTTCATAGGACATCAACATGTTTTTTCTTACCAATATCCAATCAGTCATCCAAAAACACCAAATATTTTGTTGTCACCTAAAGTAAATATTATGAGGTACTATGTGACCAAAACAATTAGGTCGTCATGGACCTATGGCTAGAGGGAACATTGGAATGGTGATTGGTCACTAGGAGAAGTGCAGGGAGAAAAAGGCAGAGTGCGAGCACCGAAACCGCATTCCTGTCATGTGCCTAATTGTTTAGGCCAAGTTGTAATAAAATAATTACAAAAACTGATATGGATATACCTTACTGAATCAGCAATTTCACATGCATTTGTAGCCCTCTTTTTCTCATCATCTTCCAATAGTGGTCTAAAGTCTAATGACGAGCACAACATGCCACATTGGGATGTAACCAATGTTACTGAAATGTCTTTTCTTCCATCAACACATATTAGAGCTTGTTCAAATTCCTTAAGAACCTATAAATACAATTTTTGTAACTATTATTATATAAAATATTATAATACAAATTATTTAGAAACGTCAAATATATCAATTATCAAGTAATAATATATTTTATAATAATAAATAATTTTACTGCTTTTGACTTATTTAATATTATAACATGTGTACACAAAAGGCTCCAGGTCTCTATACTCAATACATGAAACACAGCAGCAATAAGCTGCTATTTTACACTGCTATTCTTTGAGAGCATGGTCCTACCCTGATCGAGCCGACACATTAGTGCTGGAACCATAATATAGCTGCAGCTTGGTTCTACCACATAAGAGTTTAGCATCTTTGCAGTTTTGTTTTAAAGTTTGAGGATAGCTTAGGATGATGTTAAAAAACATGAGGTTACAAACAATAGAAGTTTAAAAATCTAACAATTTGTGTCTGAATAGTCTAAGATTTGAACTAATCATGCTAGTTCAAACATTTAAAAAAATCTCAGGTCCTCTCTGTTTTCTATTATTAGATGTAGATGATGATGTAGGCATTTCTGAAAGTGTCAATTGACACTTTTATTGGAGGATTTGCTTAAATACTCGCAAAATACCAGACAGAAAGTTTTCAGAAGAGAAATAACACAACATATCCCTACAATTCTGAATATTTTCCACCATAAGTTGGTTCCAATAGTTATGTTTATTAATAAGCAGAGACTGCTCTAATGTAGGTAAGGCTAATATTTAGAGCAAAAGTTGATATATTCCCATCACATGCAACCCACATCCTTCCACATTCTATATTATAACCTTGTTTATTTTATACATTATGTTCTCAAGAGTATTTTTGCTTATTATATATTATATGGTTTACTAAAACTAATATTATTTCACTTACACTAGTGAAGGATAATATTCAAACAAACCTCAATGTTATATCTAGGTCCTTTCTGAATAGTGATTTCAGCTAATCTTTGATCAATATTTATTGTTAAATACTTAAAATTTATATCAACATCTTTTTTGACGTGAATGATTCTTTGACCTTCTTTTGCTTTGGTGGCTTATCATTGTTGCTATTTTCTCGTTTTCGTTTATTCAAGGCAAGGGATAATTTTGAGTTAAGCTTTTCCTTAATAGATAAGCAATCATCCCTATTAATAATTTCACTGTTAGTTATATTTATAGGATCAGCCATAAATGTGTCTGATGTTTGTTTGTTATTATCATCTGAAATTTTGTTTCCCTTTTCTACTATTAGTGCAGTCCTTGCAGTGTATTGTGTGCCACCTGAATCTACATCACTAAGCCGCCTAGGACTCATACAAGTGCTGGAATACGAACTAGATGAATGTCGTCGATATATAATTGAATCATCTGCACTATGAGTCTCAAAATCCTCACAAACAAATGGAGACTTTACAGAACTGCTTAAAGATGTTCTGTGCTTTTCACTTAAAATCTTTTTTGCCTCACCATCTTCATATTTAGATGAATCTTTCTTTTGTACCCGGAACTTCATTTCTTTGCTTTCAGAAGTAGAGCTTTGAATCTTTTTAATAAATTCTGCTTTGGTTCTTACATTTTTCTTACCCTTTGGTGCTTCTGGAGTTAGCTGGTATATCATAATGACAGCACCTTCATCCATCAGAAGACTATCAACCTCTGATTACCTTTTATTTTGCTTTACATTTTTGGTGATGGCTTCTTCCATTGCAACTTAGATATGGGAGACTTTGACTTCGATCTCACTATGGTTAAATCAGTCTTTCCTTTCTTATATGGTGGAGACTCTTTTTCAGTGTTTATTTCCTTATTCTTATTGACAGCTGTACTTTCTGTAAATATGTCAGGATTATCTGGATCAAAAATTACTTTTTTCTTAATGATCCTCCCTAGTCTTCTTTGTGGTTGACCTTCATCTCCACTCTTATTAGATATTTGGCTGTGATCTTCACTTGTTGGAATGGAAGTTCTTATAAATTCTTCCTTAGCTGTTACTGCTATTTGGACTTCTTTAAGTTCATCAGAGGACTTCAAAAGGGACATCAGAGGAAATCATCCCAATCCTTTACTAAAACATTAATAATGCTATCAGATTTACTTTCTTCTTTCTTTTCAATTTTTTTGATATTTTTTCTGTGCTCCTTTTCTTTTTACTATTTTTCAGTCGTGTGAGTTGTTATAAAGCTAACTGTGCTTCTAAAGATTTAGAATTAATAGTATTCATTTCCATATATTCAACTACTTCTTTGTCTGAAGATTCTACATCTTTTCCTTGAAAAATATCTAGCAGTTCCTCTTTGTTAAAGACTTCTTACCACCCAGTACAATTGTTACTTTCCACATGATCATTGACATCAGATGATCTTAAGGCTTCATTTAGTTCTATACTTTGCCCCAATTCACTCACAAAATATTATTAGTAGCATGTTCATCAGAGTTTGTCTCATTTAAGTCTTTTTCATTAATATCATGATCAATTTTTTCAACTAGTATTTCAGTCTTAAATCTGACTTTATTGGATGAATCTGTATGATTTACTTGAACTTTTAACTATTTTGTTACTTAATTGTAATGCCGATGTTTCTTCTTTATTAACTTCAACTGATGATGATTCTGTATTAGAAACTTCTATAACAAATTCAGTTGACTGAATTTCAATTTCATAGTAGATTTTTTTATCCAAGTTTTTGACTATGATTTCCATATTCGGTTCATTTGTTTGATCCGTCCCTTTTTCTCTATTATGATTAGATTGGCTAGAAATGTTTTCATTTATAGCTACTGTCTCATTTGTTTCAACAGTTACTTCATTATTTTCTTCTATCAATTCGACGCTTTCTTTTGTAATTACCATTTCTGTTATAACATAGTTCTCTTTAGCCGGTCCAGCTTTACAAATATTGACGACACCGTTCGATTTGTGACACACATCCGCTGCTATGTACTCTACAGTTTCTTCAATGACAACATTGTTTTTTAATTTGATCAATAGATGCATTTAATTCAGGTGTTTCTTCTATAACTTCCATTTTACGACTAATTCTTCCTCAACACCGAGACTTACAGATAAACTTTAAACAGGTTAACCTAATATGTTGATAAATAAGTCAAATAAACGCAATTTTAACTTTAAAAGTTGAAAACATTTCGAGGATTACATTATTCCACCATTAAATACATTTCAGTTCATAATTAGCGTAAGCAATAAATTGTAATGGAATTTCAACTAAATAAAACAAAGCCTTTCTGTCTTCTTTATTAACCGGCTTTACGGCTTGGTTTCTAGACCTTCTGAGCCTACCCTTTCTTTAGGAATCTTCATTTTATGTTCTTTTTCTTCACAATATGCTGATGCGTCACATTGCGAAGCCCTTGGGAGATTTTGACGGTAGCTCAACCTAAGCGGACAGTTGATGACGACAGCCACTCAAGTTCATAAGGCGCCCAAGCGATCAAAATAACTTGAGGTTTATATCGACATCAAAGCACTTATTTCGTCGTTTTCTCTAATAGTTCACACGCGTGGACACTTAATTCACAAAATCGCATCACTTTTACGAATCAAAATCCACTTCAAACCATTATTCAAGCAACAAAACAGGAGCGACAACCCGTTCAGGGCCAAGTTCCCGCCAAAACTCCAATCATAGATAACTCCAATTTCCAATAAAACAAGCGTTCCAAAATTATAAAATCCACAGATTTTTTTCTTCTCTGTCTACGTTTTTTTGTTTTATTAACTGGCTTTATGGCTCTGCGTTCTAGCTCTTCTGAGCCTATCCTTTCTTTCGGAATCTTTATTTTTATATTATTTTTCCTTACAATATGGTGATTCATATTGTTCTTTGCTCTCGGGCCGAGCGCACGTACTTTACAGAGCTCCGTATATTTTTGGTTCTTGCTCCTTATAAAGAGCTTATTTTTGCGTCAAACTCCTATCTTTGTAGTCCTACCTTTAAAGTATAAGTGTTAATTTACATTAATCAAATTATCCAATATAGTCGCCAGTGACTAAATATTCAAAGATTTAATAGTGTTTTGTAGTGATAAAGTTGATGTTATGTAGTTTTGTAGTGCCGTGCGTATTCTCTGTGGTGACTCATCCTTCGCTGCGCTTGGACGAAACATTACCTTATATGATCATGCAAGTGCTATGCTCGCATTGTGCGTAAACACACTGTAACAATCAGTTAACATATTTCGCCGTCTCAGGCGTCGACTGCCGTGGTGTAGCTGTCTCTGGTACTGCGTCGCGCGCCTACGACCCCCGGATCGAATCCCAATCGACAAAAAATTTGTCTAGTTTTCAATAAATTTATTTTAGATGTTTTGAATTTAATTTGACCAAGAAAGGGAATAAGATTATCCAAACACAATTTATTAGGATTATTTTCAAATATGGAATCCGTCAAAGAATGTGCGGCTTGTTTGAGCAACTCAAAGGATGTTCCTGTCCTGCTCTGTTCACGCTGTGCTACAAATTATCGTCTCTTGTGCATGAACATTAGTTCGAAGGATTACAACAAGATGTTGCAGGAAGACAAATCAAACTGGATTTGCGTACAGTGCCGCTGCAAGGAACGTAAAGGCGACAACACAAACACTCCAGTTCGTAGTAACCCGCCCCCATCGCCGAAGCCTCATTACGTTAGAAAGCGCGGCAAGGCACGCACCACCGCTACAAACTGTTCTTGTCTGTCGGCTAGTAGCATTCGAGATCATCCGCGAAGAGTTGCAATAGTTATTCAACCACCAGATTCACCCGCATCTTTTAGAATTCCAAAACGCAGTGCCCCCCTCGAAGCATCTATGGCTCATTTTAACGAGGAACTTGAAAAAATCAAGGCTAGCAATGCCGCACACGTTAGCATGATTGAGAAACTAAGATCTGAGACAGAATCTTTGCGGGCAAATAATCTATCCTTATCGTCACGAATAGCCCAAATAGACCAACAATCACGCTGCTCAAATATTAAAATCCAATGTGTACCTGAAAATAGGCAGGAGAATCTTATCAACACTGTAGTGCAACTGGGCAAAGTTATAAAATGCCCCATCACTGAGTCACACATTCATTACTGCTCTCGACTAGCCAAAATGAATAGCTCAAATCCAAGCCCTCAATCCATCTTAGTGAAATTCGGCAGTCCGCGCCTGTGCGACGATTTTCTCGCTGCGACCGCACGTTTCAATAAAACCAATCGGGACGACAAACTCAATTTGAGCTACTTAGGCATCGGAGGAGATAAAAAACTGCTATCTACGTCATGGAGCATCTCTCCCCGGAAAATAAGAGCTTGCACGCTGCTGCGCGAACCAAAGCTCGCGAACTGAAATACAAATTTTTATAGGTGCGTGATGGTAGGATATACATGCGCAAAAATGAAGAATCAAACTACGTCCATGTAAAGAACCTCTACCTATTGAATCGTTTGTCATGATTACGCTATATCTGCTATATTTGTACTAAAAGGCACTTTTACTTGTTACTACCAAAATGTTAGGGGTCTGAGGACAAAAACTATTGAACTGTTTAATAATGTAGTTTGTTGTAATTTTGACATTATTGTTTTCACAGAGACATGGTTGAATGGCAAAATTTTTGATAATGAATTATTTGATGACTGTTACACGGTCTACAGACGCGATCGCGAAAACAGCTGGTTCCATGGTGAAAAAATGGGAGGTGGTGTTCTCATTGCTGTCTCTAAAAGCTTTAAATCGTGCCGTTTATGTGTGCAGGAGTCAGATTGTGAAGATTTATGGGTTAAAGTGGAAATATATGATAGCTTTAATAAAGACAGACACCCGTACATCTGTGGCGTATATATCCCTCCTCCAGTAAAAATGCATATACTTAAGCATTATTAGTAATGCCAATCGCATATTAGAAAACCACAATGGAAACACTATTATACTTGGTGACTTCAATGCCAATCGCATATTAGAAAACCACAATGGAAACACTATTATACTTGGTGACTTCAATTTGAGTAGCTTATGTTGGACTAAGACTGTTAGTTACACACTCAAACCTGCAACATCCAATAGTCTACTTAATAACATGCTCGTTTACTTCATGTCTCTTAATAATCTAGTTCAGCACAATTCCTGTTTTAACAATAAAGACATCTTTTGGATCTGATAATGAGCACATTGGATATCACCCGCCTCTACGTAAGTACCGACCCATTATCGGTGATTGACCCGTTGCATTCTCCTATCGAATTCTGTGTGGGACTTAAATGTGACAATTATCTCCTAACCAAGCACGAACCCAAATAAAGCAGATTTTATTAAAATTGTAAATGAATTGAATAGTATATCATGGGAAGACGAATTGTCGCGTTATGAAAACGTAGATGACATGGTAGCACATTTCTATAAAGTACTTCAATCCATCATAGTTAAACATGTACCCAAGTCCAAACCTCGTAATAATAAGAAATACCCCATATGGTTTTCAGACACGTTAATTAAGGTAATCAAGGAAAAATATAAATACAGATCTAAACACCGTAAGTTTAACAACCCTCGGGATTTATTGACCTTTGAACTACTTAGAGATAGATGTACGAAATTACTTAGCCAGAATTATAAAACTTATTTGCTACGACGAGAGACATCTTTGAAATCAAATCCTAAACTACTATAGAGTTTCATTAAACACAAAAGAGACAGTAGTAGTACCTACCCCACCCAAATGTCTTCTGGAACTACTCTTGCCACTACTGGCCCGGATATCTGCAAACTCTTTGCTTCACAGTTCTCCTCAGTCTACAATATTGATAAACTATCCATTCCAGACGAGCACTATTCAGATAAATCCCCCGCCTCTAACTTTATTACTAGTATTTCAGTGACTAAAGACCAAGCATTTAGGGTCTTAAAGAGACTTGACTCCACTAAAGGCGCTGGCTCAGATGGAATACCATCTATCTTTGCTGTAAGATGTGCTGGTGCTATAGCTTTACCTCTGTCCTTGATAATTAATAAATGTCTTTGTTCTGGAATCTTTCCCAGTGCTTGGAAAACTTATCTTGTTATACCGATACACAAAGGAGGTGAAATAAACTCAGTGAAAAACTATATGCCAATATCAATTATTACGGTGTTTAAAGTCTTTGAAAAACTACTGTGCCTTATAATGTCTTGGCATCTAAGACACTTAACTGCATCGGAACAGCACGATTTTATGAAAGCCCGCTCTACCACGACTAATCTGATATCCTTCGTTGAAGGCCTGGCCGAAGGTGTTGATGATGCGCAGTCTTTCGATGTCATATACACTGACTTTAGTAAGGCTTTTGATAAAATCAATCACGATATGTTATTGCACAAATTATCATGTGTCGGTATAGGCGGTAATCTCTTGCTCTGGTTCAAATCTTACCTAACGAATAGATTGTCTGTGGTGGTATCAGGGGGATTCAAATCTGGCTTTTTTACTGCCCTTTCCGGAGTTCCTCAAGGATCCCATCTGGGTCCCATGCTGTTCAACGTTTTTAATAATGATATCGATAAGTGTTTCCAAAATTCTAAGTTTTACATGTTCGCCGATGATTTGAAGTTTTTTAGATCAGTAAATTCATTAGAGGATGTATTGTTGCTTCAAAATGACTTGGATAATCTAGTATTGTGGTGCAAATCGAATGGTATGAGCTTGAATATTGACAAATGCCACGTGGTACGCTTCACTAGAAAAAAGCTCTCAGAGACTAGATATTATTGTATTGACGATGTACCATCAAAAGAGGTTGATCATATTAGAGATTTGGGTGTAATTCTCGATAACAAATTGCGATTTAATTTACATATAGTTAGCATTACTAAAAAGCCTTCAAGACCTTGGGG